CCAGCCGGGTATGGAAGACTTCATAGCGGTCATCGTCATTGTCGCGGGAAAGGAAGGACTTCATTTTCTCTGCACACTCCATGGCACCCTTAATATCACTATGAGTTAAACTGTGTTCTTCGGAGAATGACGCACCTTCTTCCTACTCTTCACTGACGTGATCTTCTTCCAACATCTCGTCGGCAGTCACTTCAGGATCTCTGATCACCTCCAGGATGTCGTCGTTGGTGGTCTCGGAGAAGCCTGGAACTGTAACAGTCTGCGCAGCTTCTCTGGCAAGGTCCACTGCTACTGCAACAGTCTGAACCTCACCAGTCACAGATTGACTCCTACTCTCACCTGGTATTCCATGCAACACATGTCTCCATGCGTGACGAATTGTAGCAATAGACAGCTGATCCCATGACTCCACCAAGATGTCCACAACTTTCTTGATGTTAAATATTCTCCAGAATTGTTTGAACAGTATTTTTTGCTGTGCCAACTGTTGATCCTCATCTTCTTCGCTCTTGCTATCGGTGGTGGTGTCACTCAGGTTACGCAACTCTTCCCTGGTGTTGGTGTAGTCGTTCAGGAGTTTGAATTTTTTCGTAGAGAATGCAGCTTTTACATTACAGATTAACTCTTGGTCCATGGGCTGTAATATAGACGTAGTGTTTGGAGGAAGGAAGACCACTTTTATGTTGGGGTGACGATCTAACAGTAGAGGCGAGTGTCCTGGTGCGTTGTCCAGCAGCAACAAAATCTTGAATGGCACATTCTGTCGCTCACAGAATTTCTTTACATCGGGAACAAAACAGTCATCAAACCAGGAGAGGGACAGTGTAGAGAACATCCACGCCTTACGTGCGGTCAGCCAGTGGACATTTAGCTTGGTCATGTCCATGGTTTTGTAGGCGTGCGGCTTGCGTGCTGTGTGGATCACCGATAACATGAGCTTACAGGTACCGGAGGCATTGGTGGTAAACAGGACGGTGATGCGTTCCTTCTGCATCTTCCGGCCCCGAATCTTGCTGGCATTCTTTACAACGAAGGACTTGGAAGGTAGCTTTTTCCAGAAAAGACCAGATTCGTCCATGTTAAACACCTGGTCGTCACTGTACTGTCCTTCCTCCATAATCTCACGTAAAAACGGAGGAAATTCCCTAGCCGCAGCACGGTCAGCACTCGCTTCTTCACCACCAATGTTTATATTGGTGATCTTGTTCCGGATCTGTAATTCCCATCTTTCATGCCACTGCGATGTACAGTTCACGTGCGTAGTCCTTAACAGAGCGTGTGTCGACCGCCATGTTCCGTCTCACCTGACGCACCAAGTACCTCACAAGTAATTTTTCTGTCTTGAGAAGCACCTGGTTGTGAAAATACTTGATCATAGAAGCACCTGTAGACTTTGTGATCTTCATGTGCTCCTTTATCTTGGCTGCATCCTTCTTTATTGTTCGAATCGTAGATTCATTCACACCATGCTGGCGCACCAAATCAACCTGCCTTGTTCCTTTCTCCAACTCTTGGATGATGGTATACTTCACCTCGTAGCTTAAGGAATGTTGTGTCTTCTTTGGCTTAGTGCCGCTGGGTCCAGGTAAGGAAAGGTTTCTCTCTGGGGGTGGTGGTCCGGCGGAAGCCATTTTAGAGAACAATGGATGCACGTTTACACGGTCTGGCGTGGAGGGATGAAACTGGCGCGGCTAGGTCAAGGATGGTCTTTCCTCCCTCCCTCCCTCCCCCGGGTGGACACGTCATAATACTTTAAGCCAATTACAGCTAGCAGCAGAGGGGGTAAGGATGCATGGCCAATCACAGTCCGATACGTCATATGACGTCAGTGATAACGCAACAAAGACACACACTGCGCAACCTTACCGTGCGGCTTGCCCAAGCGGAGGGAGGAGGAGGGAGAGGCGAGGAGCACAGGCAGGCAGGCGGGTGGGGCGAATCTAAAAATAGCGTCGCGCCAGACACTCTCCGCGTAATGGGGTTCACGTACCGCGTAATGTGAGCACGTTTGGTTCTGGCAAGGCACCGCGTAAACGTGGAAACGCGGAATGTGGGACCGCGTAAAGTGAGGGTTAACTGTAGTACATTTATAACAAAAAAATTTTCAACTGTATTTTTGGGTAGATTTACATAAATTTTTTCATTTATTTTCATCTATTTACATGCACACACCAAACTAAAAGAAACGTAAAAGAAATAAATGACCTTGGTGCAAAGCTGGAGTGCATATGTACTAATTTGATTACGGTATTAAAATTGTTATGTCTAGTGCAAATTATAGCATGTTAATATTCAAATTAATCAGTATGTTACAAGAATCCCAGCAATGTTAATTATATTCACCCAGGTCATTTCACTGGCTTTTTATAAGAGAGAAGCTTAGTCACCTAAGAACTGATAAATATACACGCGTTAGACCTGGGCCTGTGACAACTGTCAAACGTACTACCTCCCCTCCCCCCAAGCCCCCTTGCTCGCTCGCTCCTTCCCTCCCTCTCCCCCAACTGCCCAGCATTGCTGGAATCCTTGTAAAACAGTGAATAATTTTAATATAAACGTCATGTATTTTGTACAAAGAGATAAAAATTAATCACCTGTATCACATTACAGTGGTGATTTAAGAGTAAAAGTGTATATGTACGTACAGTGGGGTATGCTATAACGAACGGATCCTACTACGAATATTCCTATAATGAACGGTTTTACCTATAAAATTGAGAATGCTATAACGAACGAAACTCCTACAACGAACATTATTTAAAATTTTTATTTTTTTTTTAATAATTTAATGTTTTTTATTACAAGTATTAATGATATTCTTTATTTCAGGGGTTTAGATGCATATTTATGTACTTTTTTACAATTTTTACAATTTTATTATATTTTTCAGTGTTAAGTGGTTGTATTTGGGGGCCTGGAACGGATTAATCCTACAACGAACGAATGCTATAACGAACAAGGTTCTAGAACCAATTAGATTCGTTATAGCATGCCCCACTGTATATAGTATTCCACATACACGTAAGTATAAATAAAAAGTTTATGTGATGATCGGACAACATCCATTTCGGTTAATGTCACATTTCCAAGAACGTATCTAGGACGTTAACCGGCGCACGACTGTATTTAACATAATTGAAGTACAGGGAACTAGTTTTTAGCACGCCAAACAGCCACTCAACACACCCAAAATGGCGTCATTGTGTGTCCCTGCTCAGTGGAGGAAGCATCTTGCTTCAGACTCTCTTGAACATAAACTATTTTTACATTTTTACAGTACAATTATTGGTCATTCTGAAGTTTATTTTACATATTGACAATATATAATGCAGTGCAGTGTTGATTTAAAGAAAATAATCTTGAATTACACCCAGTGAACTAAAATTTTAAGGGTGAAATGGCGGCATGAAGCATGGGGTGACTTCTCTTCCACCCCAATGTCTTCTCTTCTCCCTTCTCCTCCACCCCCATTCTAATTCCCATCATCATCATCAACCAGGAGCCTTCTACATGCACACCTCAAAGTAAGTTGTACTTTACTGCATTTATTTTTAGTTTGTATGTAATTTTCTGTGAGCTGGAACCAGTTACCCAAAATCCCATTGAAACAATGGTTTCGGTTAACAAAATTTTCGGTTAACGAACGACCTTCTGTAACGAATTGTGTTCGTTAACCGAGGGACCACTGTAATAGCATGGTGCTGTAAGTAAAATCATCACTCTGTACTATTGACAAGTCTTGAGAGTGACCATAACTCTAGTATCCTCGTGAGTAATATACTTTAAGGAGGTATAATTATTGAATGTTGTATCTGATAATTGAAGATCTATTTTTGCTACTTATAAAGTACGACCCATTGGTTAGTAACTGTTCTAGTTTGTCTAAGTATTACAGTAAAGTAATCAGTAATTGAACCCAAGTTTTATTGTTGAGAGTGAAGGTTCAAATTATCACATAATCAGATTTACATTTAATAAATATGATTCAGTATATGTGTAACACTGCTCACTCCTTCTAACAACTGCCATCCCTGAAAAGACACTTGATAACTTGTGCCTAACCTCTCGTGTCTACCACGCTACCACTTTAATTGAGAGGTTCATTGTGGAGGTTATATTCTAAAGAAAGAAAGCCTGGGTGGTGACAGCTCTCAGATGTAAGCACAGTAATTACATGTGTGTAAGAATAGAGAAGAATGTGGTTCTCCCAGGTTAACCCACAGAAATGAATATAACCAAGTAACTCTGAGAATACAGTATCAGTAAATATGAGGAAATGAACAAATAAGTAAGAGACACCGAAAGAAATACAATAAATACTTTGAGGCAATGAATTAGAAGCTAAAGGAAAGAAAAAGTTAGACACAAGAATAAAAGAAATATAACCAAGAAGGTTATAGAAATAAAAAAAAGTTTGCCATCTTACACGACCCCCTCTCCTAAATATCCCAGTTGGATGGGCTCGCTGTACTCGCTATGTTCCCCCACCCACAACTACTTGGAACCCCCCCTTGATATTCATGAATCCGCCCTGTACTAGTGTTGGAATTTTTTTTTCGATGATACATGCGGGTGTTGGACTGGCTGGGAACATATGCCATTGAACCCCATGTTATAATGATCCCAATCTACGATATTTCACCTAGTGATGGGTTTTCAGGAACCTAACCCCATTGTAAATAGGGGGATACTGCACCTGTATCATAAATTACTGAGATTCAAAAAAATTTGATTCAAAACAAACACATGCATTAATTTGATAATAATTCTGATCAGTTTTGATTTCCACCAGCTGGCCTGTAGAAGGATAGTCTAATAGTGTTGAGAGCACTTACTCCAAGCCATTAGGTTGTAAAGAGTCACTGTTTTAACTGTTTAAAAATAAGCAAAATTATTACAGTTTTGACATGTAATATGATGTTTAAATAAAAGTTTAAAAATCAACCTGGAGAAAAATTTTTCTATTTATTGAATGGTGAGTACTGTACATATGAACTTGCCTCTCCAAACATGATCTCCACAGCTGCTCGGAGGACGACCTGGACAAGATCAGCAGTCATCTCACATGGTAATTCCTTTTGTTTGTAGTCCCTGTAAAGCAATAATGAATATTACATATCCTCAAGTAATTAAAAATAGAGAATGTATAAATATAGTTTCAAAAAAACTATTGTAATTAGCAATGACTTTAAACTTTTCTATAATAACTTGATCAAGATGTCATCCTTGTGTTGTCAAATATCACTCATTAAACAATATCTATGCCTCTATTATCATCATTAACAGTTATAAGAGTTAGAAGTGGTTAAAATTCTCTTTACTAAAACATACTATACAGTAATACCTCGCTTTACGCGGTCAATTGAACCCACGGCGGCCTGCATAAAGCGGGGAAACGCGTAAAGTGAACAACAGAACATATGGGATTAATTGAAATAGGGACTGGGACAACCCCCAAACTCCACTTTTTCAGACACAATACCTACGTTGTAGTAAAAATAACTTCTTAATTTTATGATGGTATGCACACATAATTAATAATTAAGAGAAATATCAATAATATTAGGTTATTTAACACTTACATTAGTAGAAAAGATGGCTGGGCACACAAGGATGGGGGGTTGGTTCCGAGGCAGAGGGCAGATTATTGGCCCTCACCTGTATCACTTGTATCAATTGTATCACTATCCACCACAGAGGCTTGCAGGGCCTCTTTGTCAAACCCCTCAAAGTCCATTTAAGTCCATATCCTCACTATCACTATCACTATCTTGGGCCGGCTGTGGTGGGTGGCGGGTGAAGAACTCGGTAATGTTTTGATGACTGGGCGACCTTGTGCGCACCCTGCCCGCGCCGCTTCCCGCGCATATGAGTAGATGCACCGCGTAAAGTGAACATTCCGGTTCTGGCGGGGTACCGCGTAAATGTAGAAACGCGTAAAAAAAAACGCATAAAGCGGGGTACGGTATTACTGTACAGTACAGTACTGCACCAAAGTTTGTGCAGCAAATTCAAATATTTCAACAATCAAAAACAGAAAGAAAGAATACAAATTATAAATTGCAAATTACAGTAGAATTCCAGTTATCTGGAGTCCAGGTAACTGGCAGATTCAACTAACCGGCACCAAAAATGAAATACAGTAATAAAGATGAAAAACATTCCTCCAGAATCAGCTAGAATTATAAGTTTGAATACCACACGCAACAAGGATGAGATGCCATATTTATTGTTATGAAAGAGATAAAAAATTATACAAAGCATATCATAAAAAAATACCTGCACTTATTTGGGAAAAAAAAAAAACCTTGCACACTCCAACCACCTGCTGGGCAATGAAACACAGTCAGTCAATCATCTGACACACATGTATGGCTGCTGTGCTGTGTATGCCCACTGCCTCCACACACATTCAGTTCCCACACATATACACCCATGTTCTTCATTTTTCTTATTTTATAATTTTATATATTTTCTTTATTTCTAAGTCTCATTGTTTATATAGAGTGGAAAAAATGTTAAAGAAGTCCATTTTTGGACACGAATTTATGAGGTCAGCCTGTTGCACTGTGCATTGTAGGATTTATTGGGGAGCCCAAGAGTGAGATTCAAATAACCGGAAAATGTCTATCCAGCACCTCTTAATCCCCATAGGTGCCGGATAATCAAGTTTCTATTTTTCCTAATCATACTTAACAAAACTACGACTATATTTCATTATGGTCTTTTTACCAATAAAGGTTTTGTTTACAGGACTGTATTTCCATAGGTCCAAGTACAGTATAGTAAGATACCCTGTACAATAGAACGTCGATATAACACGAGATACGTTCCAAGAGAGGTCGCTTTAAACCGAATTTGCACTAAATCAAAGTGTTGTTTCAATGGAATAATTTAGTTTGGAACTTGAGAGAAACTCAAAATACTAAAATGACTGAGAGTCTACCCAGATGCACCTCAGCCCATCTCCTAGAATAAACAAAACATTGTTTTTTGTGGTATTATGTTAAAACAAACACTCATAAATCAATAGTTAAAATTATGGGACGTGAAATGGTCTGTGTACTAGCAATCAGCTGATGGGTAGATAGGGTGGGAGGTGAGGTGATATGTGTGACAGTTGATGCCAAGGTCTAGTGAAGTATTTATTTGTTTATTTACGTCCTTTAGGGTTTTTTTCTTATAAAATGTCATAGAAGTGATCGGGAAGAATATAATTAACATTGCTGGAATTCTTATAAGATATTGATTAATTTGAATATAATCATGCTATAGTTTGCACTAGACAAATATTTTAGTGATCATTTAGTACATATTTTGAGTACATGTACTGTACAGAACAGCTTTGCCCTTAGGACAGTGTAGCGTGCCCTGAGAAACATTAGGCGCGAATTTTAAAATATGATGTGCCAGATTGACTCACGCAAAATAGGAAATATTCGCTTTAAATTAAAACAGTGTCCTTAATTGTGGGTGTCGCTTTATATTTATAATCTTAAATTGAATTGCTTTAATTCAACGTTCTTCTGTATGTGGTAAAGCAGTACAAAACTATTGTACTCACTCTCTTATCTATCACTTTTCCATCAAGACTTACAAAGGAAAAGTTTTAGTAATTGTTATGATTGATGGAAAACTATATCTGAAAATTCAAAATTGTAATCTTAATACTAATTATGTGACACATAAACAACATCTCACCAAAATAACCTCTTTATACACTAATGTTTGTTTCTGTGAGCAGAAAAAATTTACAATATCTAATAGAACAGTTAACATTGGATAATACCCCCATAGTAGAAGCCATTGTCACTGAATATCATTGAAAAATAATGAGTCTCTGGCCTACTGTACAATATGTGAGTCGGTGCTTAATGTGCGCCAGACCAGCACTTTTATTTAACATGAATATTTTGTAAATGTAATCTCATATAAAAAAATATTGCCATCAGAACTATGTGTATAGTGTCTTCACAATGTGCACCTATAGGCCTTGGCAACACTAAGTGCTTTGCCAGTTCCACAGGCTCGGTCAACATCTGTCTATGGCTGAAGTGAATTCCACCACTTGTTATTTTACAAATAAAGAACTGACATGAGTCCACCGAAGATGTCTTGTAATACAGTACTGTACTTTGTATTGTTATGCAAGTCATTTTATCTGACCAAGAAGGGTTTCTTTTTAAAGGTTAAAAGAAAAAACATAATTAAAATTCATTTTCTAATCCAACATTTTTTCCACCCATTTTTCATTAATTATTGTAGTGTTCACAAGTACATGGCTGTATATGTAGTATAGTGCTGTAGTGTGCACTAGTACATGGCTGTATATGTAGTATAGTACTGTAGTGTGCACTAGTACATGGCTGTATTTGTAGTATAGTACTGTAGTGTGCACAAGTACAGTACATGGTTGTATTGGTAGTATACCCTGTAGTACTGTAGTGTCCACAAGTACATGGCTGTATATGTAGTATAGTACTGTAGTACTGTAGTGTGCACTAGTACATGGCTGTATTTGTAGTACAGTTGGTCCTCACATTACGCGGTTAATGTAACCCAGAGGGTCCCGCGGAAAGTGAGAAACGCGGAAAGTGAATAACATAACATATGGGATTAATTGAAATGGAGTCCAGGCCGATCCCCAAACTCCACTTTTTGACGACACACAACTATGTTGTAGTAAAAATTTTATCTTAACTTTATGATGGTATGAAAAAACAAGTAATATAGAAGAGGTTAGGTTAGGAAAGATAAAGGTTAACATAGGAAAAATAAAGAATAGGTTAAAAAACGAAAAATTTTGTGGAACACTTACGGTAGTAGAAGAGATGGGTCGGCATACGGGGATGGAGGCTGGTTCCGAGGCAGAGGGCAGATTACTGGCCCTCAGGTGAATCACCATTACTAGGTGAATCATCATCACTGTCACTTACAGTTGTCAGGGCTTCCCTGACAAATCCCTCAAAGTCAACTTCACTGTCACTATCACTGGCTTGGGCTGGCTGTGGTGGGTTGCGGGTGAAGAAATCTGTTATGCTTTGCTGACGGCTGGCGTTGATGTTGTCGTGATACACCTTGATGTACGGCTCCATAGCCTGCACCAGCCGGTTATGGAAGACTTCATAGCGGTCATCGTCATTGTCGCGGGAAAGGAAGGACTTCATCTTCTCTGCACACTCCATGGCACCCTTAATATCACTATGACTTAAACTGTGTTCTTCGGAGACTGACGCACCTTCTTCCTCCTCTTCACTGACGTGTTCTTCTTCCAACATCTCGTCGGCAGTCACTTCAGGATCTCTGATCACCTCCAGGATGTCGTCGTTGGTAGTCTCGGAGAAGCCTGGAACTGTAACAGTCTGCGCAGCTTCTCTGGCAAGGTCCACTGCTACTGCAACATTCTGAACCTCACCAGTCACAGATTGACTCCTCCTCTCACCTGGTATTCCATGCAACACATGTCTCCATGCGTGACGAATTGTAGCAATAGACAGCTGATCCCATGACTCCACCAAGATGTCCACAGCTTTCTTGATGTTAAATATTCTCCAGAATTGTTTGAAGAGTATTTTTTGCTGTTCTAACCGTTGTTCCTCATCTTCGTCGCTCTTGCTATCGGTGGTGGTGTCACTCAGGTCACGCAACTCTTCCCTGGTGTTGGTGTAGTCGTTCAGGAGCTGGAATTTTTTTGTTGAGAATGCAGCTTTCACATTGCAAATCAACTCCTGGTCCATGGGCTGTAATATAGACGTAGTGTTGGGAGGAAGGAAGACCACTTTTACGTTGGGGTGACGATCTAACAGTAGGGGCGAGTGTCCTGGTGCGTTGTCCAGCAGCAACAAAATATTAAATGGCACATTCTGTTGCTCACAGAATTTTTTTACATCGGGAACAAAACAGTCATCAAACCAGGAGAGGGACAGTGTAGAGAACATCCATGCCATACGTGCTGTCAGCCAGTGGACATTTAACTTGGTCATGTCCATGGTTTTGTAGGCGTGCGGCTTGCGGGCTGTGTGGATCACCGATAACTTGAGCTTACAGGTACCGGAGGCATTGGTGGCAAACAGGATGGTGATGCGTTCCTT